AGAAGTAGAAAATCCCAAAGGATTATAAGGGCACATCTTCTAATGATCATTACTTTTGGATTTTTTTGTGAGACATAAAGAAAAATTTGAAAAGTAAAATTTCCCATTTTTTTCTTCTGTTTATACTTCCTGATATCATTAAAGCTAACCATTTTGTTACACTTGCCACGTGTTAACTTCCATGCGGCACTGCTGGGATGCATGCTCCAACATCTAATCCATCAAGCTGCATCATCTTTGACAAATATTCCCTCACTTGATTTTCATTAAATCAATCTCACATAATCCCAAGTATTTAGATGAAAGAGACAGCAAAAGCTATTTAATCTATGTTTATTTATTTATTTTTTCTTCTCTTGGCCTGAGTTGAAGGAAAATAGAGACTTAAAGCTTATGAAAGTAATCACAAGTATCAATAACTCAGTTTAATAGAATGTTTTCATTCTAGAGCCCCTGCCTGGATGAACGCACAGATGGCAGCACTGTGATATTCATTGTTGCGCTTTAAGGATTCCTCAGAGACTCTATCCTACACACCCGATGATTTAATATCATAGGCAGGATTGGAGTGTATAATTTCATATTTTAATCTTTGAGTGGCTCCCTGATGAACTAAGATACATAACACAAAGCAATTCATAATTTAAAATGTCAGCACATGTAGTTGGCTGGAATTTCTGGTTCTTTATTTTGTTTGTTTGTTTTCTTTTTTATGCTTTTAATTCCCATTCTCACAGAACATATTACTGACGAGATTATAGCAAAAACTAAAACCACAATCTATTTTTTACTCTGGAAGAAATGTTCTTCTTAAGAAGGATAACTATGGTTTTTGGTGCTGCATGGTGCAACTATTTTTCAGGAAATACAATGGATGCATTCAAATAGAGAATTTCTAAATGACTTAAGATTTCACTTATCAGAAAAGCTGGTAGATTGTATCCAGGTGGTTCATAAACGCAGAGCTTATTCACCACTAAACATTATGGAAAAGTAGTAAAATAACAAAACTTGTCACACACAGAAAACGTCCATGAACTTCCACCACAATGAGTTTGATGAGAAGAAGAAGGCTGCAAACATCTTCATTCAGCTACGGATGGTGAAGCCAAGATGGAGGAAATTGAAGGAAGTACAGCTGCATTTAGTGTTGGTGTGAAACTTCCAGAAGTGTTTGTTTCTCTTTTCATATTATGTCAAAAACACATTATTTGACTCATAGCTCCACTTGTGTTCTCTTGAAGAGAAGGAGCCCTCAGATGAGAAATGCTTATTCAGTAAAGACAGTCCTGGCCTCTAGAGGAAGAAAAGGCTTTCCGAATATCCATCCATGAGATGAGCAAGAAAACATGAGGATTGAAGGAAGCCAAGGATAAACTGACTCATTGACTTTTGTGGCAGTGCAGCATATTTTTGGGTCAAGACTCACTTGTTTTCCTATTCTGTCATTTCCCAACACTAGGGGCCTTAAATGAGAACTCCCTCATGTTTATTGACATTCCATTAGAAAGAGCATGAAGCAAAGCCAAGTGTTCCTTCTTTTTTTTTTTTCTTCAAACTACCCACAAGTACTTAGTGCTAAGATGGCAATTTAAAATATATGAGTTCTCAACATTTTCTTGATGCATTCATAAAGTGGAAGAACATACTATCTTCATTTTTTTTTTTTATATTTCAGCTGAATAAGGAAAACAAACTTTCATGATTAAAAAGCACTTGATCTTAGATACTTGAGGGCCATTCATGGGCACTATACATATTGAAGTTTACCATAATTGAAATTAGAACAAAAAAGAATCAAGTATTTATTGATTCATTTAATAATGGTGATAATAAAACTATTGCATGCTAATGTAGGTACTATATTTTTTAAAGATTTATTTATTTTTATTGCAAAGTCAGAGACACAGAGAGGAAGAGAGACAAAGAGGAAGATCTTCTGTTCATTGATTCACTCCCCAAGTGGCTGCAACGGCTGAAGCTGAGCCAATCTGAAGCCAGGAGCCTGGAATCTCTTTCGTGTCTCCCACGTGGGTGCAGGGTCCCAAGGCTTGGGCTGCCCTCGACTGCTTTCCCAGGCCACAAGCAGGGAGCTGGATGGGAAGTGCAGCTGCTGGGATTAGAATGGGTGCTCATATGGGATCCTGGTGCGTTCATGGTGAGGACTTTAGTACTAAGGCTACTGTGCCAGGCCTGCTACTACATATTTTTAAGAAAAAAGAAAAGAAATGAAATGAGTGACATTGTTTTATATTTTTCTGAATCTATTAATGAGATAGCTAGATTATCATGTCTTCCTATTCAATTATTTTTAACATATATCAAGTGCCGTCTTGAAAAGAAACCCATTGAAAAACTACCCTTTATCCTTCAGAGAAAATTTTCACAGAGTAAGAACAGAATTCTTATCACAGAAATTCAGTTCAGAGATATCACTATTTTTTCTTCCTATGTATTGGCAGGAGGCAGGGAGAGAGAGTAACTGCTCCTTTTCCATCATCACTTTTTTAAAAAGAAGATTTATTTATTTTTATTGGAAAGATTTTACAGAAAGAAGGAGATACAGAAAGATAGATCTTCTGTGTGGTAGTTTACTCCCCAAGTGGCCACAACAGCTGGAGTTGAGCAGAAGCCAGGAGCCAGGAACGGGTGCAGAGTCCCAAGGTTTTGGGCCATCCTGCTCTGCCTTCCCATGCTATAAACAGGGAACTGGATGGGACTTGTAGCAGCCTGGACACAAACCGGCACGCATATGGGATCCTTGCACATGCAAAGCGAGGTTTTTTGTGCTGTGCCCAGAAGTCTATAAAATTTCAAACTTAGACATTTTTGCATTTCACTGCTGAATATGTAGCAGATATAAGCAAGGCCAAATTTGAAATAGAAGAGACGGGGATTCTCTAAAGATAATTTCTTTGTGTCAGAAAAATATTTAATTCATGAAGCCATAAGCTCTTTGATCTCTGTAAGTATATAGTGACATTGCGGAATCTCGTCCATGGAGGATAATAGGGGCAAAACCAAAGTAGCCCATAGAGCTGGAGAGGCCTGCTGTCATCACCATTACTCACGTTCTGAACTTAAGTCATCTTGCTATCAAACTCAGTTCCTGGTTGTCCGTTGAGGAAAAACCACTATATGTATCAGCGGGTTGTAGGCTGTGGCACAGGTTTGTGATTAGACCAAGATCAAAACCTAGAAGCTGAAGCAAGAGACTTGGTCGGTTTTTGTGTATATTTGTGATATTCCCAGGATCTACTTTGGCGATAGCACCACAATAATGTATTAGCAGGATGTTTTAATGAATGATCACCAAGCAAGGCTGGATTATCTCAAGTGACACAAAAGGAGACACCAACCAAAAAAACCGCTTCTTTCAATTTCAGTGCATGGTAGATATTATACAGAAACCAGTGCTACAATACATTAAACCAATGATTCCAGTAATCAAAATATAGTGCCATTTCAGGAGAAATGCATATAAACTTTAAATAAAACACCCAAGAAAACTGAAAAAGGTAAATAAAGAAATGATTTCTACTAAAAGGGATTGGAAATTATGAAAATAATTAAGGTAAACTAATTCTTCATGTGTAGCACCTGAACCGAATATGGGCTGTGGTTTAAATCCTGCTGCTCCAATGACAATCCAGCTCCCTGACTTTGGCCTAGAAAGCAGCAGAGGGTGGCTGGAGTTCTTGGGCCCCTTATCCACATCGGAGGGCTGGACAGAAATTCCTGGCTCTTGGTATGACATTGGCTCAACTCTGGCCATCTGGGGAGTGAATCTGCGCTGGAAGACTTCTCTCTCTGCCTTTCTTTCTTTCTGTGTACTATCTGCCTTTCAAATATTTCTGCAAAGATTTATAAAATATGTCTTTAAAAATGATGAGTACTGTAAAATAAAGGATGAGTGTTATAAAGAGAACTCAAATATAAAAATGTTAAAAAATATGTAAAAAAAAACTATTTCAGTTGATTCTGCAAACTGCATATATTTGAAGAGAGTGATTTGAAATAAGCGATTGTAGAATTGATGTGGAGTATATCGTAGGCAAAATAAAAGTACAGTATATGTGTAGCCTACTTGAAAGGACATAATTGGATTATTCATATTTTCTTCTAGAATTCATTGAATCAAAAGTTTCCTGTGAATATCAACATTAATTGATAAACATAATTTGCTTCTGAATCATTTTTATGCCTCTTTACAAGAGGGGGCATCTTATATCCATCAGAGTATAGGGGATATCCAACCAAAGGTATTTGTAACAAACTCTGTGTCAGAAATCCTATGTAACAGAGCATAGTGAATTCACATAGGAAAGGGATAAAGGAATAATTAGAAGCCTAAAGTTTTAGTCCAAGATTTATTATTTTTCAAGATTGAAGAAAACATAATATGGCAAATTGCTTCTTTAGAATTCAAGGCTTTTTGCCATTCTCTGCTTCTTTCTTAGGCCACAAGCAGGGAGCTGAATGGGAAGTAGAGCAGCTGGGACACAAATCAGTACCCAAACAGGATCCTGGGGGATGCAACGAGTGGAATTAGTCAAGCAAGTATCCTTGACAGGATGTAACTGGTGACCATAGCAGCAATAACAACAAAATACCCAAGCTTTCAGAGAATTGATTTCACTACCTTCATCCCATTTCAAAAAGCTCATGACCTGAGTCAACCATGAAATAAACACTTGAAAGACTAGGAGGGTTAAAGTTGCTAGAAGTTTAAGAAAGACAAGTGAGAAGGAGGAGTTATGAGAAGACAGGGCTTTCTTTTTAGTGAAATTGGAGTAAGTATAGAGAAATAAGAGGGAGGAGAATGAAAGGGGCTTAGACCCATCTGCAGAAGCAGAGGGTTTTAAGGAACTTACACTGCTTTAACAGTGAAGATGGGAAAGACAAATTGTCAAAAACTGTATGGCAAAATCCAAGCAGGATTTAGCTGTAACTCTAAAAAAGAGAAAACTTTCCTGGCCCAGCTGAAAAAAAGAGTAATGAATTTTGTGAATGGTGACATTCTTTTGCGTATCATCCTTGTACAGGGGCCATGGTAGTCATCTCTGTATCATTCCAATTTTAGTGTATTTGCTGGTGAAGCCAGCATGGTGGCACTCTTTTGGCTAAGAAAACATTTCAGCTTGCGTGCCTATATGTAGGACAGAACTCAGAATAATGTAGGTCAGATGAGACTTTCTAATCTATGGTTTCTATACTTATTTATAGCATACCCCATTATTCACAGTACTGTAAAGAAAGCATCTCTGGCTCTTAGGTGCAAGGTTGCTCTCAAGAAAAAGCTCTGAAGAGAAGGTATAGGCATGTGGCAAGAGGAAGTTCCTAGAAAGCACCAGGAGCCGGGGTTAAGAACCAAGCAGTCTGCTGCCAACAAAATGCTCTTACCCGGAGTTTTTTCATGTTCTACTAGATTGAATGAAGCACTTGTCCTAACTACAGGTAGTTCTGACTTCCAGCAATTTGACTTTTACTGAGTCACACACCCATTGCTCTGCCAATTACTCAGAGCCCTGGCAGGAGGCCACACAGCTGCATCATTGGCACTGAATCCTAACATAACCGAAAAGTTCAGACCCTTGGGTCTTGGTTCCTGAATTCTCATGACCCCATGATAGCCCCAGCGGCCTCTTACGCTTTTTCCTCTGGCACTTAATGTCAGTATTCCTGCATCAATAATTACTGTAAGACGCAACATACACAGTTGTACTATTAACCTTCGTGAGCATGTTCTCACTTTAAGCCCATAATACTCATTAATATTAATTGTATATTTACTATGCACAGGTCGATGTAAGAGCCATTCTGAGTAGATAAGTATATTTAATCCTGGAAAAGGTCCCAGTGGAGGATGCTCAGAATCCTTTTCAGAGACTGGGTTTACTCCAACTTTCTGCTAATGTAGACCCTAAGATGCAGCCAAGATCTTCCAAGGAATAACATTGATCTTCCCCAAGAAGACACTTAGTTAACTTTTAACCACACATTATTTATACAAGTTAGAATTTCAGGAGGTTATGCATTTTTGTGCATCTGATAAACAAAGCAACTAAGTTTTGAACATTGTGAAAATATAGTATATTCTACCTAAGTGTTTGAATTTAATAATAATTAAGTTATATATCTGAATATAGATGTTATCATTATTATTTTTAATTGAAGAGACAGAGAATGAGAATAAGAGAAAGAGGATTCGCAAGCACTGATTCATACCCTAAGTGCTCAGAATAGCAGGATGTGGTCCAAAGCAGAAAGAGATGCAGAACTCTGTCTCTGGGTGGCAATCAATCACTCGAGCATCATTGTTTTCCCTGTGGTCTGCATTTTTATGTGTGCAGACTCAGAAATTGGAGGTGGGAATCTAATATCGTAACTCTAACTTATAAATAATATCAGGTTACTAATTAGAAAATTGTTTTTCATAACACTGCCTCTATATGGAAACCAGTCAATCCAAGTCAGTTCATGTGCAGTTAAAGTGATTAATTAGAAATTCAAGAATTGTCTAAGAAAGGTCTAGCAAAAGAACAGCAGATGATCTTCGGAAGAGGAACTATACTCTTGGTTGTTGGATGCAAACAGTGTGAAATTAAAATCGTATCAGACTTAAAAGTCTCGCTGTTTACTTGAATTTCAAAGTCATCTTCCCAGAGGGCGTCTTTTGATGGCATCGGGGGGGTTAACATTTAGAGGTGTTATGGAAATATCTTTTGAGGTCAGTTTGCTCTCTGTTAAAATGTTGAGAGATTTCTATCAGCCCCATACATTTTAATAGTGTCAGGTCTTTTCATTAGATTTTCAGATAATAAATGGTGGTCTTTGGTCTAGCTAAATGGTGAAAGCCTTCTTGATTTGTGCTTTTCTTGTTACACTGCATTTGCTGATAAAGTTGGCAGTCTCGTGTCCTGCGAAATGCTTCTGTCTGCTCTCATCATGTGTGAAGTCCGATACTGACACTTTCAGAGAATAAATCCTTATCTTTGCTAGTACTGACATGCAATATGTGAGATGACTTCAAAAGTTTCATGGAAAATGAAATTGAAAGACAACATTATTTGGACTGGCATAAATTCTGACGTATAAAGAACACCATTTCAAGTTTTAGCTGCTCTACTTCTTACTTCACTTCATTGCTAAGGTAACTGGGAAAGCAGCAGAAGATCCTTTACGTGCTTTGACTGCTGCAAGTTACTGGGACACCAGGATGGAGTTTAGGCTCCTTTCTTTGGCATAAACTGGCCATAGCTGATGAGGTCATTTGGGGAAGTGAACTGATAGATTCTGTCTGTCTCTCAACTTGCCTTTCAAATAAATAAAGTATTTTTCTTTAAGATAAGTTAATTTGGTCTAAACACTTTTTGCATATTTGAAACACATGTTATGAAGCACTATACATGAATTTTTGGCACCTGAATTACTTTAATTTCTAATTCTACTATCTGAGAATTTTATGTAGCACATTCTATATAGTATTGAAATCTGTGACCTCCCCCTATGATCACTATTGAGCTAACAGTTTTAACCCAATTTTCCTAGCACTTTAGATGCATAGGAGCACCTGGTTCCTGCTCCTTCCTCCAGTTTTCTGTCAACGCGGACCTGGGAGACATGAATGTAGGCTCAAGTGATTGGGTTCCTCCAGCCTACGTGGAAGTCCTGTGTTCTTGTCTCCTGGTTCTGATCTGGGCCTAATGGTTTCTCTCCTCCTCCAGCTCTCTCTTTCTCTGCCTAGCAAACAAACAACAATAAAAATTAGGGGAAAATATTAAAAATTTTGTACAAATGAATCAAACATAAAATTGATTTTAATGGAAAAGAATATGAGCAAGAGTAGTCCCAGAGATGAAGATAACAAATCCCTTCGTCATTAGATTCATTGTGCTCTTGAGAAGGTAAGAAAGATGCAATGCTACTCACACCACTGAGCGTTACATCTCACTCTTGATTGTCATATACGTTATACAGATCCATTCATAGAGTTGGATTTTGAAGGAAATGTTTCATTCCTCATGAAGATATCTTGACATATTGTACGAATGATGACATTGTTTTAAAAGCTGGGGAGGCATCAGTGTGGTACTGAGGTGTAAGATACCTTTTGTGATACTGTCATCTCATTACAGAGTGTTGGTTCAAATCTCAGCTAGTCTGCTTCTGGTTCACTTCCCTGGCAATGAACCTGGGAAAACAGCAGGTGATGGTCCAAGAACCTGGATCCTGCCAAGGACAAACAACAATGAGATTCCTGATCTTGGCTTCACCTAGCCCTGCGGTTGTGGCACGAGGGGGGGCGGGTATACAAGCAGATGGAATGACTCTTTTTTTTCTCTCTTAACCTCTCTTTGTCACTCTGATTTTTGAATAAACAAAGAAAAGATAAAGTTGAAGGAAACGTGGTCATCACCCAAATTAAAAGTAAAGCTAAAATAGTAAAATTTTCATGTATTTTCTTTTAACCTTTCATCTGGTCATTTTTTCAGCTGTATTTTTTTTTTAACAATCAGATTTTAAAACATGTTGAAATGTTGAATGCGCAAAACCAGTAGCATTGTGGTATAGTGTATTAAGTTTCATCCAGTAATGGCATCTCATGTGGGAACCGTTTCTTTTGCTGACTGCTCCACTTCCCATATAGCTTCCAGTTAATGAGTGTGGGAAAACAGTGGAGGATGGCCCAAAAGCTTAGTCCTTGCACTAGCATCAGAGATGCATGTGAAGCACCAGGCTTCTAACATGAACCTAGCCTACTCTCCATTGTGGTCATTTCAGTGGATGTAAGATTTTCTCTCTCTCTCTCTCTCTCTTAACTGTATCTTTAAAGCAAATAAAGTCTCAAAAAGAGAGTTGAGTCCATTGTATTGGCTCAATTGTTTAACCGTCTCCTTGCGAGGGACGGGACTCCAGTTCGCGTCCTGATTGCTTCACTTCCCATCCAGCTCCCTGCTTATGGCCTGGGAAAGAAGTGAAGTATGGCTGATCCAAAGCCTTGAAATCCTGTACCCTCATGGGAGACTTAAGGGAAGCTCCTGGCTCCTGACTTCAGATTGTTTCAGCTCTAGCAACTGTGACCTTTTGGGGGGGGGTTTGATGCACCAGTGAATCTTTCTGTCCTTCTCTCTGTAAACTTGAGTTTTCAATAACAATTAATAAATCTTTTAAAAAAGGAACACCTTAGTGCACCTTCTGATGCATTTTATCTCATTCCACAGAAGCAGCTGCTTTAATTTTCAAAGTGTTTTAGCTGTTTCTTTTGATAATCATTTCCTTTTTCTTAGTAGAATGTTAATTATGTTATTTATTTTAATATACTCATTATTTGCCATGATTGTTGTTATTTACAATTTTGTGGATGTGGAGGTTCTCCTCTCCCTCTTTCCTTCTTCCCTCCTCATCACCTCACCTCCATTATTTTCTGAAATATAACAGTAACATAGTCCTTTACTAACAGTTGCAAGATTAACCTTCTGCTATTTAGATATAACCTCACAATGTAGGTAAAGGCAAAGGTAGAAAATGTGGTATCATGCTGTATAGATTTATTTCCATGTTTCAAAATTTCTGTCCTGCTTTTATTGGGGGATAGAAGCATAAACTGTGAGGTTATTGCTTCCTCATATGCTGATTTCTCTTATGTGGCTCATTTGTGAGAATATATGCCTAATCTTGATTGCCAATATCTATTTATTTTGTAGTTTGTCTAAAGGCTATCTTATATCAGAATGAACATAAGATATTTGTCCTTTTGGGACTGGCTTATTTCACTAAGCATGATGGTTTCCAGTTGGGACTATCTGTTGCAAATGGTAGAATTTCATTTGTTTTTATGGCTGAGTAATATTTGATAAAGTAGATGTACCACGCTTTGTTTACCCTGTCATCTGTTGATAGGCATATGGGTTGTTTCCATGTCTGCTATCATAAGGTGTGGTGTTATATATAGAGGGCTGGTAGATTAGTTCTTAGTCGTCCGAGCATTCTCTACAATGATTTCCATGGTGGCTGCACTGGTCTACACTCCCAAAAACAGTGAATTAAGCTACCATTTCCTTTACATTCTCATCAGCAGTTGGTTGTTGACATTCTCACTGAA